CCCCCCCCCCCCCCCCCCCCCAAACAAAAAACTGTCTTGATCACGCGCTCACGTTATGCAGTGCTCTATGTCGTGCGTGTGAGCAGAGTTCACAGCACAACACTAGGCAACAAGGCCCTAGGTTTGGTCAACAGTACAACCCACTCGCGTATTGGGTTGTGAAATCTTTGCTTGGAATAGAAATGTCTACTCGCCAATTCGCCATCTGTCTTCAACAATTGGGTGTCCATTACGTACAAGGATGGCGCGTGGGTTAAACACAGAATTGCCATGCTTAGTAGGATGACCTCCTCTACAGAACTGTGATCACGTGCATCCTTGGATTCCTGCGTGTCACCTCGTCCCCCTCGGCCCCCCCCCCCATGTGATTTCTTTCCCACTGCAACCCTTGTTTTTTGGATTAATATCGGAAATGCCACTCTTTGTCGTCTAACGTCAAAAATGGCTGTTACTAGCTGACATGAAACGTACGGTCAAGCCAAAAGGGATAGTCCTGACATGTAAATTCAGACATTTAAAATTTAACAATTTTCTTAGGATCGGAACGGATTCATTCTTCGTATATTCTTAGTCACGAAAATTACACATAAAACTTTCAAATTATAATTTTTATGCCAATTAAATTTGTATTTTTTTTATGTGTTTAGTCTTTGAACTCTCTAATTTTATCAATTAAGTCATTCTGTCTATTTTTGCTAAATTTTTTAACAAAAAGTGACAAAATATGTTATTCGCATGAGTGACACAGTTTGTCACTTTTTATTAAAAAATTTAATAAAAACAAATAGAAAGGTTCAATTAAACAATTAGAGAGTTTAGTAGTTTAATTGACAAAAAAAAAAATTTAAAAATTTAATCGATATAAATGTCATAATTTAATAGCCATACGTTTAATTTATTCAAAAGACTACCCAACATTTTTGCATTAAAATTATCTGAGGTTAGATTAGTTGGCCTTTCTTGATTATTTTGAATTTTTTGTTCAATCAAGAGGTCAATAGGTTAGTTTTCACCAAATACATTGATTGATTTTTCATGCATGGGTTCTATGGTTTACTCTTTTTGTGCTTTTGTCCACCTCTCTACGAGTGATTTCATTTTATCATAAATATCTTAATTTCGATATAAATAATTTATTTTTGATTTAACTGAGAAAGAGATTAATTGTGACGCGTATAAACTAAATAAGACATCCCTAACAGTTGAACTAAAAAAAAAAAAACAAAATCACAACTAATTTAATGACCGTATTAAATAAGTTCCGAAATAAAATTCCTATAACATTGCTTTAATAATAAATAAGAGGTAAGGTAAATAAATTATTACATATTTAGAGTTACGATAACGATGTTAACATCTAAAACTCTAACTTAATTTACTGGTTTAATATGTAACAATTGATATAATCTAATATTATTGTAATATTATCTATTTTTTTTTCATTGAAATTATATCACTTAAAACATTCATTATTTTCACAAGTTGGGTCAAATTTTAAAAGTATTATTCTTAGAATTAATGGTATAATTTATTTCATAGGTATAAGATAAACTTGAGTGAAGCGAACATCAACTGGTGTTAGGATTTCTTTGGAAGTGTGAGGGGCATTATTGACAAATCATGACTACCACATACTCCAATTGCCAGTGTGGCCAAAACATTAATCGTTACATTTCGCTCAAGACAAACAGCATATCGTCACCTTCCATTAAGCCCCTCTCTCTCTCTCCATTCACTGTTCTCTGATCCTCTCTCTGTCCACTTTTCCCCCTCACCCTCTCTTTCTTCGTCTCTCACCTGTATCTCTGAAAGAAAAACAGCTTTGCTCTCACACTCTGAGGCACGAATCCCTCTTTCTTTCATTCAATCACCTCCATTGGTACAACCCATTCTCTCTCTCTCTCTCTCTCTCACATACAGACACACAAAACACACGTTTCATGGCCTAAACAACAGATTGATTTGACAATCCACCATCAATGGACTCGGACAGACCCCATCGCACGACAAGCACAAGCAGTGAGCTCTTCATTTGCTTCACGTCTAGACTTTCCTCATCCTCCATGAAGATCTCGTCCAAATCAATCCTGAGCCCAGGCCGAGCACGCGACCCTCCCATTTCTCTCTCCACCTCTCTCAGCCGCAGACTCAGAACCAACGGAAGCATCAAAGGAGGCCAAGCATCGCCAATGTTCCCCACCGGAGGCAAAAAACGAGGCTGCGCTTTCGAAAACCCAGAACCCTCTTCGCCTAAAGTGACTTGTATAGGCCAGGTTCGAGTGAAGACCAAGAAAACAGTGAAACAGACTCGTAGCCTTTCAAAAAGGCGAAGTGGGGAGGTGAGTTTTAGGAAGATAGAGCAAAATGTGAGTCAAAACGAGGATCAAATTCGCTCTCAAGTGTATCAGCAAATCAATAGGAGCAGTCATTCTCAGTTTCAACAACAGTCACACGAGTGTTTGCCTCACCACCGGAATCAGAGATGGGTTCACTTGCCATTGACGATTTGTGAAGCTTTGAGGGCATTTGGGGCTGAGTTCAGCTGCTTGTTTCCATGTCGGCCTTCATGTTTCTCCACGAATGAAAGGGATAAGGAAGAGAAGGCAATGGCATCGAGTGAAGGGAGTGGACAGAATTCTTGTGGGGCTGTGTTTGCGAGGTGGTTAGTAGCATTGCAGGATGGTGAGGGAGGGAAAGGGAGAGAGATAGAGTTGGTGGTGGGAGGAGATGAAGAGAGAACAGAAGTAACAGAGAGACCAAGGAGTTCAAGAAGACATGTATTTGATGATATAGAGATTAAAGATGATAAAATTGAAGTTACAGATGAGGTTTTAGGGGAAGAGGAAGCGAGGGTGAGTATTTGTATACCCCCAAAGAATGCTCTTTTGTTGATGAGATGCAGATCTGATCCTACTAGGGTGGCAGCTCTTACTAATCGGTTTTGGGAGTCCCCCCGTCCTAAAGATGAAGAAGATGAGAGAGAGGGCAATGAAGAGAACAAGGATGAGGAAGACAAAGTACATGTAGAAGAATGTGAAGCCAAAGATTTGGCAAACTTGGAGCAAGAAGAATGTGAAGTGTCTGAGAAGAGTGTTCCAGTTGAAGTTGAGGAAGAACAGGGGAAGCCAGAAGCAGAAACAGAGATGGGCATGGAGGTACAAGACATTGCAGAAGAGAAGTTGCAAATCAATGGTGGGCTACAAGATACAGAGCAAAGCAAACAAGAAGAAGAAGAAATGGAGGTGAACCAAACACTAGTGGAAGAAGAAAATGAGATTGCTGGTTCTTCATCTGAAGCTATTGTAGATCTAGAGAATGCAGAAAATGAAGAAGATGATTCAGTTCCTGTGATGGAAGAAGTGAGCAGAGCAAGCTATCCTTCTTCTTCCGTACAGTCAGATGAAGAACAAGAAGCTGAACCAAAGGAATTAGAAGCAGCAGCATTAGCAGAGGATTCTGAACCTGAAGAAGAAGAAAGATCATTAGCAGACGAGTCAACTCTCGAGAAGGAGACACAAGAGAATTATTTGGACAAAGAGGAAGAAACGACAATGTCCCAAGAGAGAGATGAAGCAGAAGAAGATGAAACCCAAGATACCCATGAACCAGAAGAAGAAGATAAACAAGAAGGTACAGAGTCAGAGGAGAGTGAAAGCGAAAGCCATAAGACACAGCTTGTGGAGAGAGAGAGTCATCAAGCGAAGAAACAACAGAGAGAAAGCTCAGTGTTGCCGGACTGCTTGCTGTTGATGATGTGCGAGCCCAAACTGTCCATGGAGGTCTCGAAGGAGACATGGGTCTGTAGTACGGACTTCATCAGATGGCAACCCACAGAGAAGAAGAGCCAAGTCAACCCAAAGGACGGTCCTGACGAGTCCAAGAAGAGAGTCAGCAGCGAGTCCAACATCTCTTCTAATCCTGCGCTCTCGGTACACTGTAACCAACCCCTCCAGCAGCCGCCGAGGTCTTCTTGTTCTTTTCCGGCGCCGGCGGCTACGTCCATGGCGACAATGATAGAGCAGAAGCTGCTCAATGCTGCGGCTTATGAGCCGTTTGTGTTAACTAGGTGCAAGTCTGAGCCGATGAGAACGGCGGCTAAGCTGGCTCCGGAGGCTTGTTTCTGGAAGAACAGGAAGCTTGAGCCTCACCGTAGGGCTACGTGTGGAGTCGGCGCGGCTGGGGTTGGGTTCTGAGCCGAACTTGGGATAAGAGGAGTCTCTATGGTGTAGTGGGTCGTATCTGACTGAAACTGTAGTTTTGCATTACTGCTCTGGCAATGGCATGTTTGTACATGTTCTTTTAAATTAATGATATTTCATGTAATTCTCTCTCTCCTGTTATGGTTATGATGTGTTTATTGGATTTCTTAATTTTAGTCCAGATGTCAATTTGAGAGAAAAAAAATATTGAATATAACGATTATAATACTACGCTATCACGTTGATATGGTTTAATTGATTAATAATAATACTACATAAGGACAAGTGAATCTCATATGGATAGTTAATGTCGGATATGAATGGATAATTATTTAATTATGTAAATTCACTTATTCATATTTATAATAATAAAACAGAACAATCTTCAATAGACTCATTTAACGGTTACTAACATACCTCTTGAAACCATTTACATTAGATTTTTTTTTCCTCTCTAAATCTATCACTTTTCACTTACGTTGTATTGTATTTTTAGACACAAATTACTCTTAATGTTGTATTATTACTAGACGGTTACACCTAATATTTACCCTTATTTGAGCCCTCTAGTAATCAGATTTAGAACCTTGGTAGATAAAAAATGCTATTTGTACTAAATCTAGTGAGTAATATGAGACTTATTCATTTATCAATAATATTGTTTGAATTAATTTGTTGACGTAATTTATTAAACTAATTCACTATATCTATTGAATTAATTGTGGATTCTAATAAAAACGGTAATATGCTATGAATGTCTGTTATGAATAATTAAGTCTTATTAGCATTGCTCATCATTATATATTTTGAAATAAAAAAGGGTTTAAATGAATTTAGTTTTCGAATTAGATGCTCATTATTATATGTAATCGTCAACTAAAGTTATGTGCTTTGTTTTGAATTTATGAATTTACCCATTTACCCTCTCTCCTTTTTTTTTTTTTTTGACCCTTTTTGAAATGCTCACATTCCTCCAGGTTGTTATCCTACATTTGGCATAACACTGTCCAACTGCTCTCAACTTAGACATTCAACAAACCAGATCAACTGCTCTTAACCTCAGCTTCTCATGTTTTTACGCTTGTATACTTAAGAGTTAAATTAAGAAAGAGAGGAGATAAAGAAAATAGAGAGAAAGAGAATACGTTTATGACAACAGTGAGAGCAAATAAGGATTATCTTTTTTAGACTCATGTATTTATATAATAATAATAAGACTCAAAGTACATAAATATCCCTCATATCATATACATCTCTTAACGCTTTATCTCTCATGTCTAACTTACTAACAATAAGATGATCAACCTTACTACTAAATCCTTTAGTAAAAACACGTGCTAATTGATCCATTGATCTCACAAATGGTATATAGGTAACCCTCTTATTTAATTTCATAAAATGTCTATAAATCTCAATATATTTGGTTCTATCCTGTTGAACTGAATTATATGTAATATCAATAGCATCTTTATTGTTACAATACAAATTCATAGACCCATCGACAGAAATTCCTAAATCTTAAATCAAACTCTGAAGCCACATATACTCACAAATGTCATGAGCCACTGCTATATATTCTATTCTACTTCAGCATTAAAGTTACCCACAATAGATTTTTTTTTTTTTTTTTATTTATAATGTCTTGTAACCAAATTCCCTCCTATAAAAATACAAATACAGTATCCAGAGGTAGACCTCTTATCATCAACTAAATTTGTTCAATCAACATCACTGAATACCTCCAATCTCAAGTGACCATGGTTGAGCGGATTTAAGATAATCGCATCCGACTAAACTATCAATTTTCTTATGTAGTTTAATAATATAATATCATCCACCACCATATACCCCTTTTTTTATTAAAAAAAATCCAGCTAACCATGACCACAAAAAGTAAAAATTAAAAATGGTGAAATAAGAAAATAATATGACTGAAATTCGAAGCTACAAATCAAATGGTGCCTAATCATTCAAGGACAAGGCAATCTAGGCACGTGACCCATGAATGACCAAAATTCCCAACCCCCCCCCCCCCCCCCCCCCCCCCCCCCCCCCCCCCCCCCCCTCCTCTCCCCCCCCCCCCCCCCCCCCCCCCCCCCCCCCCCCCCCCCCCCCCCCCCCCCCCCCCCCCCCCCCCCCCCCCCCCCCCCCCCCCCCCCCCCCCCCCCCCCCCCCCCCCCCCCCCCCCCCCCCCCCCCCCCCCCCCCCCCCCCCCCCCCCCCCCCCCCCCCCCCCCCCCCCCCCCCCCCCCCCCCCCCCCCCCCCCCCCCCCCCCCCCCCCCCCCCCCCCCCCCCCCCCCCCCCCCCCCCCCCCCCCCCCCCCCCCCCCCCCCCCCCCCCCCCCCCCCCCCCCCCCCCCCCCCCCCCCCCCCCCCCCCCCCCCCCCCCCCCCCCCCCCCCCCCCCCCCCCCCCCCCCCCCCCCCCCCCCCCCCCCCCCCCCCCCCCCCCCCCCCCCCCCCCCCCCCCCCCCCCCCCCCCCCCCCCCCCCCCCCCCCCCCCCCCCCCCCCCCCCCCCCCCCCCCCCCCCCCCCCCCCCCCCCCCCCCCCCCCCCCCCCCCCCCCCCCCCCCCCCCCCCCCCCCCCCCCCCCCCCCCCCCCCCCCCCCCCCCCCCCCCCCCCCCCCCCCCCCCCCCCCCCCCCCCCCCCCCCCCCCCCCCCCCCCCCCCCCCCCCCCCCCCCCCCCCCCCCCCCCCCCCCCCCCCCCCCCCCCCCCCCCCCCCCCCCCCCCCCCCCCCCCCCCCCCCCCCCCCCCCCCCCCCCCCCCCCCCCCCCCCCCCCCCCCCCCCCCCCCCCCCCCCCCCCCCCCCCCCCCCCCCCCCCCCCCCCCCCCCCCCCCCCCCCCCCCCCCCCCCCCCCCCCCCCCNGTTCCTCCCCCCCCCCCCCCCCCCCCCCCCCCTTTTTCTCTCTCCCTCTCTCTTGTTTGCAAGCATCAAAGATTAGATTAGAACAAGGTCCAGACACCAGACAAGTATATATCTATATAATATGGAAGAAGTGGAACAGGCTGGTTTTATATGGAATCTGTGGCTCATTATCTTCCATAGAAGATAAGTTGTAAAAACATGTGAACTTGCTGGCCCCTTGGGAGTAGCCACCAACTGCTTGTTATTATGCCTCATAAACTATTCATATTTGTACTTAGATAATAATATCACATTATCAACTTTGGTGCTTGTTCTTCGATTGCTTCCAATGCTTCCGGGTGCAGCACAGTTCTTTGTATTCATCAATTATATAGATAATTAAAGGTCGTGTTAGACTGACCATAAAAAAATACAAGTAAAATTTAAAATAGAATGATATAACAACTAACATAATAAGTATATTTGAATTTAAACAAATAAAAGTGAGACCAAAAAATTATTATTACAATAACACATTATCTCGTTTTTTAAATTTGTCTTTTTTTTTAGTCAGACCAGCATTATCCTTAGTATTAAAACCTACCCAACGTTACATAAACACACACACACACACATATATATATAGAGAGAGAGTCTCATTTCTACTTGAGTAATGTTATCGGAACTTAATTGATGTGATTTGGAAACTTAATGTTCTGTTATCATTAGATTAGCAGTTGTCCCATCATTACATGGAATTCAATACCAATCCAACGGCTGCTATCAACTAAGTCTCAAATTAGGTTTGAATGTTGGTGCGAATGAACCATTGGTTGGGTTTTTTCTATCATATGCCACATATCTAGATCCACTTTGGTACTAAATACTTTACATTCTCCCAACATTTCGATTACATCATATAAATCTACTAGGTGAGAGTCATTGTTAGAAAACAAGTTCATCACAGTAATGGATGATACACTATCGTTGGCTTCATTCACTGATTTCCAAGAAACAAGTAGCTAAATCACGGGGTAGTTTATACGATAACAAGAATGAGTTACCAACTTAGATTTTTTTAATTCGAATCTTGACAATTTTTTAAAACCAAATCATAAAAAATTTAGCCTTCATGAATACCCTGATCCCGATGTGGATGATCTGCCTTTAATTAATCCAAAGAAAAGAATAGTCGAGGTACACGTAAACTAATCCGAACACTTTTTACTGTTAAACTTATAAAAAAAAAAAAGAAGAAGACAGCTAGCTACGCGTTGTGGGTAATACCAAATTGCTAATTCAGTGTCTTTTGGCGGAGGCAGTGGCAAAGACAATGAAAATGCGAGCCAAAAGAGGATAAAGTGTTTTGAGTACGTTTATGTCTTTACACTGCACACATGGTGGGGTTACAGGGGTAATAGCCAGCTTCTCCTTATTCTACCTCCACATGCATAGTCTGTGCATGAGACAACGTACACAAACTTGATGTCCCAAAACAAAATCTACAATATAAATATCTTCTCTCCCCAAACCTTTATGTCCCTATTATGCAAAGTGAGAACTGAGGTTGAGATTGATTATTTGATATTGATGATACCAAGAACAAATTATGCCAACCCAAGTCTACGACAAATGAACTAGTTGATCTAATCTTATCCGGACTGACCTTACGCGTCAAGATTTAGTTCAGCTAAGGCACGAACTAGGTCAACAACTATCAATCCAGCTCAACAGTTATCAAATGGACTCGACAAAAACCGAAGCAGCTCAATTCACATTTAGAAAAGGTTAAAAGAGGAATTACGCCATCAAATCTTGCCTTGGGCATAAAAAATTCTTCTCTAAAGTGCAATGTCATTAATTTCTAGAATGTCACATCATACTTAGAATAGAGTGCCTCTAACAGTCATATATTCACTCTAATATCCCAACAAATCGGGAGAGCACACTATTATTACTTGAAGACTACACTACCCTAGTTATAAATAGGTAAACCCTTACCTTACTCCAAATAATGTGCATTTGTATTCTCTTGAACCCTCTTGGATCGAGGAGGAGGGGGGGGGGGTGTTTTTACAAGGTGAATGTCATGAGCCCCATCGCTGAGGCCTTTAGAGGCCTCACCTCCACTTCTATGTACTCAAACACACACCAAATCCATGGTGATGCCATTCCTAGCACAAAATTTCTAAACACAAGATGGCCAAGTCAAATGGCATTACCAAGTCAATTGTCAAGGTAACACTAATCCATCTAAACAAATATTAAGAAGAAGAAAAAGAATGAAAACTCAAGAAAGCTCAAATAGGAAGAGCATGAAGATAAGAGCTTTTGAATTGTAACATTTTCCTTCCTTTTTGTGAGCCCATGGTGACAGACTCGTTCCTAGCATGCAGATCCAAGCAAACAATGACAAAAGTGGGAGAGAAGAATAGTTGGTGGTGGCATCATACAATGCTTTATTCAATCCATCTAAGTTGTTTCTTTTTCCTCTTTTAATCTTTTCAGAAAGCTAAAAAGTGTAACAATTGCAAAAAAAAAATATGCATAGAAAAGGACACTTCACCACAATACTTCTTTTTCAGTGATTTCAGGGCCACATTTTAGTATTTTTCTATTTTTTTTGGGGTAAATACAAAGGTTAGTGCTATATCACCATGCATTTCTTTGGTCCAGGTTACCAAAATGCGCGTTTTTTTATTACCATACATATTCTTTTAATCCAATAAAAATAGACACACTAAAATTTTGAGTAAATTTCATATATACTTCTCAAATTATGACATTTATGTCAATTAAGTCCTTGAATTTTTTTCTTGGTGTCAATTGAGCTCCTGAACTTTTTTTGAGTCCTTCTATCTACCACCGTTAGAGTACAATTAGAGAGTTCATGAGTTTAATTGACAAAATTAGAGAGTTTAGAGACTAAGTTGACAAAAAAAAATATTTAAGAGCTCAATTGACACAAAATTTATAATTTAAGGGTCATATGTATAATTTACTCTAATCATTTGTGTCACAAGAGTGGCACACTTCGCCACTTTCCGTTAGAAATTCTAACGGAGGCAGACAGAAAGACTCAATTGACAAAAAAAAAAAAAAAAAAAGGTTCAGAGACTTAATTAACTTAAGGGTCATATGTATAATTTCCGCAAAATTTTTTTTATCTTACATTACTTTATGATTTTTAGTTACAAATGAATCAAGCCAAAAACCTACAGTTATACATCAATTTCAGTACGGCGCCAAACTTTTTTTTCTTCAATGCTTCGACATATCTATTTTTTTTTTCCTGTTATCAGAAGAATTTACAATATTATCTCATGGAAAAGCTTGAGGACTGGAATGATTTTACATACAGTAAAGGAGGGCTGCATTTGGAGTAAAAAGGGGAGCAATGTAACAGTAAAAGTTTCAACTATGCACTGGTAGGAAAGTCTCTAATTTCCCAGAGCTTTAAGCCTCGCAGGAGCCTTGTGAAGGATGCTAATTGCATCAATCAACGAAAACTGCAAAAAAGACAATAGCGATACTACTAGAAAGGACGATTTCAATATTGTTCATACACAATCCTTTGTATAGAGTCTATAGACATTGGGGCGGGCGGGCGCAAAGATGAAATAGACAGACTAATATGCCAAATATCCCTGCTACAATATGATGAGAGGCTATTCCTCCTAGAACAAAAAGAACTGGAGCTTTCATTCTCACCTTTAACATCTAAATTGCTCGATAATTATTTGTTCTAAAAGCTTAAACAACAAGACCATACATAGAAAAAAAAAGGGGGAAATAAAAAAACCTCAATCTACAGACTACAGTATCATTGCACGTAAGTTTAATGGCCCTTTGTCAAAGTTTCAACTCAAAGAAAACCTAAGACTTTTTCATATTTTACTTGCACTTACTAATGCTTTTGTCGTCCTCATTCTTTTTGGCCAAAACATTTCATCAAATCAGCAGCCAAATGGGCAACCATAACACGCAAACCACTGTTAGAAACTTGATATCTTGCTGAGGATGATGAGGTCAAATTAACCCTCCAAGAAACAGGACCAGTCTGGTCCCCCACTCGGTGATTGGTAATCAATAGGATAATGCTAGTCTGACCAAAAAAAAAAAAAAAGACTATCCATAAGGACCAAATGATTTGTATAACGTTGATAGAGTAGGTGAATTTTGAATTTTGAATTTTAAATGAACCAAAATGGGACCAAAAACATCAACATATCAATTGGTCACTATTTTTTGTCTTATGTTTTAGTCAATCTAAGATTGTCCTTATCTTTCTTTTTTAGTTCAATGGTCAGTTGTGTCAAAGTCAACTTATGCGCACCTCAACTAATCTTCTTTCCGTTCCAGTCAAAGGTAGACCATTTACGACAACAATAAGTACAGCTCGTCCCTGTTACTACTTGAACTACTCTTGAGTGAACATTATCCTTATCAGTATAACATAAAGATAAAGAGTAAGGAGGTGCTCTTCGGTGATTACTAAATAATAAATTCTATTACAATTTTGGCACAATCTCTTTGATGGCCCTTAATTCCCGTATATACTTAGGGGTGTGGATATGTTTAGCACCTGTTATCAGTCAAAGAAAATCTTCCATATGTTCACATTGTAAATTAATTAATATTCGTACTCTTTTGAACCATCTACGACCAAACCTCTTTGAAACATATTGTCAAGCCACCTTTAATTTACCTAATCCACTATGGAATTCTAGTTAGCTAAGATTTATAGAATGATATCAAGTTCCAGTTCCAACAGAGAGAGAGAGAGAGAGAGAGAGCAATGGCGTTGACATGGAGAAAGGCATACCTGGATATAGTTTTGGTCCCAGTTGGGCTATTGATCATGCTTGGATACCATCTCTTCCTTCTCTACAGAGTCCTAAAACTTCCTCAGACCACAGTCATAGGCTACGAAAACCACAACAAAAGAGCTTGGGTTGAGAGAATGATGCAGGTCAGGAACTCCAAACACTTCCTTTCCCTCAAATGATAAAGCATATCTCTGTTGCATCTATGTTTACCATCGCCACGACTTTGATGGACATCATAGTTATCAAAATCGTAATCGTAAGGTTCACGATTCGATTTGATACGGGCACAAAATGATTTGTATCTTATATGAGAATCACTTTAGAGTTGAATTGTACCTGAATCGTACGATTCGTGAGATTCAATTACTTTTTTTAAAAATTCAATTTTTTGGTAAAACGATGTCGTTTTATCCGCTAAACAGTAAAACGATGTCATTTTGTTTACAAAAGAACCCACAACCTAATAAAAACTGAACCTCTTTGTTCATTATCTTTCTGACGTTGTCTAAAACTCGTCTTTTATTGTCTAAAGTTAAAGATCACGACTAATGCTCTCACATCATCGATTGATTTTTGCTCTTAATTCTTTCATGGGTAGTTTGTTAGGTTCTAATTTTTTGTTTCAAAATGTTATTTTGTATATTTTCTCCCAATACCAATGAGCTTTTGGTTCAATGATACTTTTTGTCTTGTAAAGGTTTTACCTTTTTAAGGTCAAGGGATCAAATCTCCCCTCCCCGTTAAAAAAAATAATATATATTTTCTCCCAATCAATTTTCTTATTTGTCTTTTTTCATTCAAGTTTGTAACATAATCTATACTGAGTGTCACTATTTTGATTCTTAAATAGTCATGAATTTTTTTTTTCAAGTTGTTGAATTTAAATCTTACGATACACGATTCGTTACAATTTATAATTCTCAAATTTAAGATTCCGATTCACTATACGAATCGCCATTTGACAACTATGACGGGCATTAGCAGGTTGAAGCAAAGGACCGAGGGTTAGCTCTCTCCGTGATCAACAGCAACCTATCAGCGGCAATTTCCCTGTCTTCAATCTCCCTAGTTCTGAGCTCTCTAATAGGAGCATGGATCGGAAGTTCATCCGAAAACATTTTCACAAGCAATATTATATATGGAGACACAAGCCCGTCAACCATGTCCATCAAATATATTGCTCTACTTTCCTGTTTCCTAATATCTTTTGCTTCTTTCGTGGAAACTACTAGGTGCTTTGTGCATGCCAATTTTCTCATAACCATGCCAAACGCTGACATTCCTGCAACCTACGTCCAGAAGGCAGTGACAAGAGGAGGTAATTTCTGGGCAGTTGGACATCGAGCACTCTATTTCGCCACCACTTTGTTGCTGTGGCTTTTTGGTCCAATCCCAATGCTTATTTCCGTGGTAGTAATGGTGACAGTATTGCATAAGTTAGACACAAATTCAAGCCCTCTGCATCAATATCAGTCACTCCACAGGCATAACCTTTTCAAGAAGATTGGTCAGGAAATAACTGCCATCACTAGGACCATTGAGCATGAGGAAATACCGCATGGAAATGGAAGCAGAAACCAGTTGTCCAACCTTGACAATAGCCTGCAACTGTAAGATAAGAGGAACAAGGGAAATATTGTACACACTCGGCTCCAATCAGCAAGCTTGTTCCACAGCCGAAAGCATAAGAAGTTCAACACTATCTATTTGTTCATTGTCACAGGTTCACTGGTTTAAAATAGGAAATTTTCAAATGGCTCTGGATATGTCTGTTTAAAACTTTCTCACTGATTGCCTTCTCCATGCCTAAAGGAAATGCAAATTCCCCTAGTGTGAATTACATTTAACTTAATTTGATTTTACTAGGAAAACCAAAATATTGACAATTTTCTGTACCTAACATGGTTTGATACAGCACTGAAGTGGATGAATCCTTGTCAGAAGTTGGCCTTCAATCAATCAGCATCTAAGATCTGCCCTATATTTGCAGGGTCAATCAATGGCCAATATCTCATCTAGATGGCCTGTTGAGTTCAAGTCTAGTAAGAAATCGGACTTGTCATGGAGGGCCTATCAGTCTTCTGAAAAATCCAATGTTGTAAGCTTTATGAAGCTTATAGATGAACCAGAGTGAAAGAGACTTGAGTAGGCATCACCAACAAACAAACATCAATAGAATATCGCACATACCATGACCAACTAGAGACAAGTTATTTCATCGGGAGGTTACCAAGAGGACAAGTATCTTCAACCCCTCTGTTTGCAATTAAAGATTTACCCAACTCAAAAAAATGCCAATAGTCCGTCGAACATTTTTGGAATTTTCTTTTTTAGTATTTTTGTTGTTGTTTTCTTCAGTATTTTTTTCCTATTTACGACAACATTCGTTTTGGATTCCAACTGAAGAAAAAAAAAACATCACGATTCAAGTTTCAACTTGACCTCGCACACCGGCAGGTAGACATTTGGGGAAATGATCAACATCATTAAGGAGATTATATGGCTTTTCTACATTCTAACAATGACCACATCATCTTTTCTTAGTACTTTTTTTGGAAATATTAAGAAAAAAGATAGACATTCAACAGCAACCACAATGCATTTTTTTGGTCCAAGTTACCAAAATGCACGTTTTTTATTATCATACCTATACTTTTCATCCAATAAAAATGCCTATAACACTTTGCATCAACTCGTCCGATCTGCTTAGAACTTTCATTCCCCCCTTTCCTCCCCAAGGAGAGGTGACTAGAGAACAAAATAACATCTAAATTGCTCGACAATTAATTGTCCTAAAAGTTTAAACGACAAGACCACACAGAAAAAAGAAGGAAATAAAAAAACCTCAGCCTACAGTATCATTGCACAGAAGTTTAATAGCCCTTTGTCAAAGTTCCAATTCAAAGAAAACCTTATGAGTTTTTTACTTCCACTCATTAATGCTTTTGTCGTGCTTATTCTGCTTGGCAAAAACACTTAAACAAATCAGCAGCCAAATGGGCATCCATAACACGCAATTGACCATTAGAAACTTGCTATATTGCTCAGGATGTTTAAGCCAAATTAATCCTTCAAGAAACAGGATGGTCCCGCACTTGTGCTTGGTTATCAATAGGATAATGCTAGTCTGACAAAAAGAAGATTATAAATAAGGACAAAATGATATGTATGGCATCGATATAGTAGTTGAATTCTGAATTTTAAATGAACAAAATTTGGACAAAAAACATCATCATATCTGCTACAATTTTAGAATTGATCCCTCAAGTGCAAGTTATGCAAAGTAATATAATATTCAAAAATCCGAGATTAAACCGCAAAGAATTAAGAAAAACTTAGAATACAAAAAAAAATTAAAAAAAAAATTGTTGTAGAAATTTTGAAATTAGAAAACAATAAATTTGGTTTTTAAAATAATAATTAAAAATACTAAAACATCATGTACTCTCTCAAATCCATACAATAATAATTAAAGACTTAGTTTTCAAATCTAGACAAAAATCAAATGTTAATTGATTCAAGTTACCAGATTTAGCAATAAAGTCAAGAAAACACATTTATTTATAATCAAAAGTTTATTCAGAAACCTGAGTAATCCTCCAATTATATTATTCTGTGAAATAATAGAAATCAACTTAAGTATAGAATAACCAGTTATTTAACTCGCAGAGAAATTCAAACAACCAATGTACATGACACAATGACTCAAAAAATTTTATAGATCAAAAACTTTGCTAAGAATCAAAAGTTGAATTGACTAAATATCACATATCATTAAGCTCATAAGTTAATAACATTACCGTACTTCATTGAGAGGTCAACCCCTAACTCTAATTGTGCTTTTAGCAAGCCATAAAACTAGAATAAAAACTAAAAAAAGAAAAAATGCGAAGAAAATAATAATCCTAATCATCCCTCTCAATATATGAGAGCTCTTATTTATACTAAAATAAATCCTAGGTATAGTTACTAGATATAAGGTTGGATTGTAAAGAATTCTTTTTCAAAAAAAAGTCTTTTAAGTTAAATCCCATGCATAAAATCTTGGGAGCCACATTTACAAAATATGTCCAGACTTTGAGCTCAACTTTCGCATATTTAGAGGTTGAATCACGAAATTTTCACGAAATACACATTTGTAACCCTTGAAGTCTTCTTTCCAACCCCACAAAAATCAGATCAATCAGATACCGGAATCAAAAGATATGACCAAAGTACCGAAGACATGTTAAATTCTCATCTTCTAAAATACTTTCTTAATCCAAATTTAAATGAGTTTTCTTCCAACTTGGACTTTTATAAGGATTAAATTGTTGTCATATCTTCAAATCTTCCTATCTTCCTCATGATTCTTCAATTCTTTCTCTAGTGATTGTTTCACTTGTCTTTTCCATTATTACTTTAAATCAACCAATTTACCTGCAAAATAAAACAAATAACTAAAAAAAATATCAAACTAAAAAATTAAGAAATTTAACACATTTAATCACAAATAATATGCAATTAATCAATCATTAAATATAATAAAATAGCATTTTTGATGATTAATCAATATCAACGCTAATAGCAATTGGTCACTATTTTTTGGCCTATGTGTTGGCCAGTCTAACATTATCCTTATCAATATAGTATATAAGGACAAAGAGTAAGGAGGTGGTCTCCATTGATTACTAAATAACAAATTCTATTACAATTTTGGCACAATCTCTTTGATGGCCCTTAATTCCCATATATAGTTAGGGGTGTGGACATGTTTAGCACCTGTTATCAGTCAAAGAAAATCTTCTATATGTTCACATTGTAAATTGTTTCATATTCGTACTCTTTTGCATCATCCACGACCAAACCTCTTTGAAACATATTGTCAAGCCACCTTTAATTTACCTAATCCACTATGGAAATCTAGTTAGCTAAGATTTATAGAATGATATCAAGTTCCAGTTCCAACAGAGAGAGAGAGAGAGAGAGAGCAATGGCGTTGACATGGAGAAAGGCATACCTGGATATAGTTTTGGTCCCAATTGGACTATTGATCATGCTTGGATACCATCTCTTCCTTCTCTACAGAGTCCTAAAACTTCCTCAGACCACAGTCATAGGCTACGAAAACCACAACAAAAGAGCTTGGGTTGAGAGAATGATGCAGGTCAGGACCTCCAAACACTTACTTTCCCTCAAATGATA